TCTGTCTCCCAGGATACAGTATAAGTTATTCCACCCAATGTTGTGTGTTCTGTAAATCTGATAATCATACTCTGCACTCCCTCATCTCAGTCATTAATAAAGACGTTGAAGAGTGCTGGGCCGAAGACTGAACCTTGTGGTATTCCACTTGTTCCTTCCTTCCACTTTGAGAAGGAGCCATTGATAGGCTTCCTTTTTTCCAGATAACAAGGTGAACTAGTACTCTAAAAAACCTCCAGAAGGGGCAGCTCACTTGTTAAAGAGGTAACGCTGGACACAGTTTAACAATGCAAAACACCAATTTGTCAAAATGGAATGTCGACTTCTATCTGCCTCTGGTTTATTTTTTATTTTTATTTTTGGCAGTCTATAGCAATGACAAACCTAGAAAAGTGATGACAAACCTAGACAGCATCTTAAAAATCAGAGACATCATCTTGCTGACAAAGGTCCACATAATCAAAGCTATGGTTCTTCCTGTAGCGATGTATGGAAGTGAGAGCTGGACCATAAAGAAAGCTGACCGCCGAAGAATTGATGCTTTTGAATTGTGGTGCTGGAGGAGGCTCTTTAGAGTCCCCTGGACTGCAAGGGGAACGAACCTATCCATTTTGAAAGAAATCAACCCTGAATGCTCACTCGAAGGACAGATCCTGAAGCCGAGGCTCCAATACTTTGGCCATCTCATGAGAAGAGAAGACACCCTGGAAAAGACGCTGATGTTGGGAAAGTGTGAAGGCAAGACGAGAAGGGGACGACAGAGGATGAGATCGTTGGACAGTGTCATCGAAGCAACCAACATGAATTCGACCAAACTCCAGGAGGCAGTGGAAGACAGGAGGGCCTGATGTGCTCTGGTCCATGGGGTCACAAAGAGTCAGACATGACTTAACGACTAAACAACAAAAGTTTCTGGAGAATCTGAGGTGCACAAAATTGGCCTCTAAAACCTGCATATGTGCCCACCTCATGATACATGAATGCGAAAGAAATGTGAAATGTGAACTTACCAACAGAGTCGTCTTCTGTTTGGCTGTTACTGAGAATTTATTGAGAGATGTTGATGTATTATTTATTTCCCCTTTTATAATATGCATCAGACTGTTGAACAAATTTGGGTTGATATTTTCAGAACATTACCCTCTGGGATTCCAAGATCTTTATTTTCAATGTCAAAAGTAATTTCACACACTGACATTGTATAAGCATAGCAAAAACAATTTCTTCCATTGGACACTTCAATTTGGCCACAGATGAACATCAGAAATCATTCAACTGCACCATGTTATGATGATTTGGATGTATTAGAAAGAGATGTTCAGTGCATTATTCTTGTCACTGTGACATGAATATGACCTCAACAAATCAACTGTATTTTATTGTGACATTTCTCATGTACCGCAATGATTTCTGAACTCATAATATGAAACAGGAAGCTCTTGTGTGGAAGTGAAATAAAGATGCAGTTAAATGCATCAATAGGTGCTCTTATTAACTGGGCTTACTTTCAAACACAAACTCAAGCCCCTGACAATGTGAGCCAGGGAATAGTGACCCACCCTTAGTCTCGAATATTAAAATAATTATGACACATGGGTCATGTGATGTTAGGGGATAATTCATATTAAGTGGTTTGTTGTATGTTGTCAGGGTCTTGGCAGATATTATTATGTAAACATAATAACACAACTACTGAATTCTGTTCACAGCCAGTCAAGAGAGGGGAATCCAACAAATAGTTCCGTATTTACAGTCGTCTCAGACTGTATAGATGTATAGATACTTTTTAGAAATTGCTGCTTTTTAGTCATCCCACTCCAAAATGACTGAAAGCAAAACAATTTGGGGGGGAAATTATCAAGTTTAAAAAGACCTGCAGCAGGGATAAAACAATAAAGAAATGACAAATGTCCAGAACAATTAACATAAAATGCAAAAGCTAACCAAAAATTTCACATTTTTACTCAAAGCCAAAATTATGCCAATGGGACCCTATACAAGTTAGAGCCCATAACGGAAACAGTCCTGTTTCTAGTGCTAGCCAGCTATTAACTCAGAAGGCAGGGGAACACAAACATGTCTGTTGTCAATTTGCCAGCATATACCACTTTGTAGTGAAAGAATTGGTCCTTTTGGCAGGCCTAGTGTCTTAAGCCATTTCGGCCTTTAAAGATGAGCCCCAGCTGAATAGAGAAGAAACAAATGTGAGAACAGTAAAGATCAGATGATAGCGGTGAATTCTAAACCACATCTGTATTTCTACCAAATTATGAAAAAGGCTGCCAAAACAGAGTCAAACAGATGTGGTATTAACAGCCTCACTGTAACCATACAGTGAATTACTGTAATTTAATCTGGCCAAGGCAGGGCCAAGAAATGACAAATGTCCAGAACAATTAACATAAAATGCAAAAGCTAACAAAAAATTTCACATTTTTACTCAAAGCCAAAATTATGCCAATGGGACCCTATACAAGTTAGAGCCCATAACGGAAACAGTCCTGTTTCTAGTGCTAGCCAGCTATTAACTCAGAAGGCAGGGGAACACAAACATGTCTGTTGTCAATTTGCCAGCATATACCACTTTGTAGTGAAAGAATTGGTCCTTTTGGCAGGCCTAGTGTCTTAAGCCATTTCGGCCTTTAAAGATGAGCCCCAGCTGAATAGAGAAGAAACAAATGTGAGAACAGTAAAGATCAGATGATAGCGGTGAATTCTAAACCACATCTGTATTTCTACCAAATTATGAAAAAGGCTGCCAAAACAGAGTCAAATAGATGTGGTATTAACAGTCTTACTGTAACCGTATACTGTATTGTCAGAGCTCTCTAGGACCATCTGTTTTCCCCCCCCCCCCGATATAAGGTACTCTTAGTACAATCAACCGTCCAGATCTAGGACCGTCTTTAAGCTATAAAATTGATTGATGGGGTGGCGTGGGGAAGGGGTCCAAGCAATCTGCATATCTAAACTTGAATCAACAGAAGTGATCAGCTGTGGTAGAAGCAGCAATCATGACTGAGAGAACTGTCTAAAAGGGAACCTATTTACAATGTACAGAGTGGGTAAGTGTTCTTTCACTGCTGTTAAAGCAGTTGTACACAGTAAAAGGTTAGGAAGAGAAGGCAAGAGCATGCACACACGTTGGTCAGTTCTTTATCTATTGGACTGCCCTCCCCACTTAACCTACCAAATTATGAAAAAGACTGCCAAAAGAGTCAAATAGATGTGGTATTAACAGTCTTACTGTAACCGTATACTGTATTGTCAGAGCTCTCTAGGACCATCTGTTTCTATGTGACAGCTTCTAGGGTCAACTAGCCATGTTCACCTGTTGCAGATTTTCACTTTTTTTTATTGATTAACTGCTTCTAAAACTGTGTTGTAATCGTCAGAGCTCTCTAGGACCATCTGTTTCTATGTGACAGCTTCTAGGGTCAACTAGCAATGTTCACCTGTTGCAGATTTTTAATTTTTTTATTAACTGCTTCTAAAACTGTTGTAATCATTCATAGAATCATGAAGTAGGAAGGGGCCTAATAAGGCCATCAAGTCCAACCCACTGCTCAGTGCAAGAATACAAATCAAAGGATATCTGCCAGGTAGTTATCTAAATTCCCCTTGAACCCTCCATATCAAAAGCACTTACCACCTTTTGAGATACAGTAATCGGTTCCATTCCCATACTGCTCTAACAGCCAGAAAGTTTTTCCTGATATACAACTGACATCTGTCTTCCTGTAACTTGAGCCCATCATTGTACGTCCATTAACTTCTAACTTTCTGTTTTTAGTACAGAACTTTTACTAAATATAATATAGCCTTAAAATGGTAGAACTGGAAAAGGGGCCATTGAGTCTAATCCCTGACAAAGCAGAAAATACACAGCGCACACATCCCAGAAAGAAGGCCATCCATCCTCTGTTCAATAGCTTCCAACAAAGTCTGCTACCTTTGGAAGCAAGCTGTTTCACCATTGAACAGCTCTGTCGGTAAACGCTGCATAGTGTATAATGTTTATGAAAATTTGCTTACATATCCTACCCAACCACATACATAGAGCTACTCTTTCTAAACCCAGCCTTTTCTATACAGTACTCGGACAAAGTGTTGTTTTTCTCTCTTTCATCACTGAAGGCAGTACCACTAAAATGAGGACAGTGCTGAACACATTGAAGGTAACAGGCAAGCTTATCTGGTAACAAATGCTTTTAGGCGGCTGAGGTTTGGAATAACTGGAGGGTTGGTCCACTGTAACGATTTTTTTTGGAGGGGTCAGATCACAATCATTACAGATGAGGCTCCCCAACCAAATAGGGTCTCTAAAATTATAAATGGGCGGCTTCCCTTTGTTTTCTACTTGGTGTTTCTCTTCTGCATCTAAAATCACTCTAGCAGGCAGAAATTCACCAGGTGATCAGGATGAGGGACAGCTGCTGGATTACTAGCCGACCCTGAGCAGACGCTCCCTACCCACCTTTAGAACATTCCTCTGTCCATTTATTTAATCCATTTGGAAGAATAAGATAGTGCCTTCTTATGACATTTAACCCCGTGAAATGAGTCCTACTCTCCATCACGACGCCGTAGCTCTGTCCATCCCTGCTCCTATCTCGCTAGCCACCCTTCATCTTTATGAATATTAATAAAGGAATGCAGCAGTCGTTTTAAGCACATACGTCATTACTACAATACCGCTGGTCGACGCATGCGCCCCACAATCACTGAGCTCATCGCCCTGAATGCCCCCCCTCCCGTCCCATATTGTTGCGATCGCATTCTTTTTCACCATAGAGACGTCAGCCTAGATCTATCTACTTTCCACGGACCTCTATGATTGACGACGGTTATACTGGAGGCGAAAGAAAGACTGAACAGCACATGCGTGAGGGTCGCTGGAAGCCTTGGGAACATGATGCGCATGCTCAATAGCAACGCCTGCGCTTCTCCTACGGCGCATGTGCGACACTGGTCCTTTCGCTCAGCTTTTCGAACCAGCGCGAAATGCGCCTGCGCAGCAGAGGTTCCATTCTTACCAAGCCCAAGCTGCAGTTTTATCGGCAACACAGGGGCGGAGAAGAGCATCAGCCATGCATTGCAGCAGCAGGAGCAACCGCGGCCAGGATTAGATAGGTCTGTTGCTCCTAGTCGTCTGAATGCCTCTTCTAGGGCGTGCTGGAGTCCAAATATTTTTGCCCCCGCCTCTAGTGTCACCCCCATCACTACCGCCAGGTAAAAATCACTCCCCCCCCTTTTCTTTTCCTT